GCTTTAGATGATAAAGTTCTTTGCTATTTTACATTGAGAAACATTATTCTTGAATTACTAGACTATTTGCCCATGCAGTCTTTCACAGAATGCTGAACTTAGCTCCTCACCTTCTTTACTGCAGAAAGACCTCTCTGGGATGCCCCTTTTATACCACATTAATGATCAGTTGCCAATTAACCCAATTAGTTGAGATTTTCCACCAGGTGGCTTTTTTTTTAGCATTACACAACTTTATCGGCCTTTTATTGCCCCCGTCCCACCTTTTTTTAAACTTATTGCTGGCAACAAATTCAAAATGGGCATCAAATTTTCAAAAAACAATGACATTTCTCAGTTTCAACATTTAATATGTTGTGTTTGTACTATTTTCAATTAAATATAGGGTTTGAACGATTTGCCCATGATTGCATTCTTTTTATTTACATTTTGCACAGCGTCTCAACTTTTTTGAAAAAAGGGCTGTATTACAATTACACAGTTAGCACAATCACACTCTATACGGACCAAACCAGTCTCTTTCCTTTGCTTGAATACAAACTGCATTCAGTGACCACAACTCCTAATATTCTTTCATTTATTGCTCACTCAGCCTCAGCCTTCAACCAAACCGTGTATTTCTGTACGTCAATTTACAAGTCCTTGGGTACACTGTTACAAAACTATTAGTTTTTACAATCACTAAGAAGCATTTTTCAGGGCCATATTCATTATTTCAGACCTCTTCACAAACCTCTCTGCAGAAAAACGAAGCTCAGTACAACTACATTTTATACCCTAAAGGTTTTGCAGCTATAAAAACCAGAAACATCTCAAAATAAACTCAGTCCATTAAAACGTCAATGCTAGCGTTCTTATAATAGGAATTCTTTGTCAATAAGAGCACAATCACTTCAGAAACACTGACAATTGACATTAAGGTAGATCCACCATTTTATTCAAATCTATGAAGTAGTTAATAATTTGTTCTGTAGTTTTGTTTCGTAATTAGTTTATCCTTTGATCGTGTAAACACCGTTAAAAGAAGAAAAGACATGTTTTTGAGGTTTGAATGGATGTAAAACATTAACTTTGTTCATTTAAACCATCTAAACCAACCAAATTTCTTTTCATTGTTCTTTTGCACTGACAAACGTTTTTTTAACAGTGATTGAAAAAGTGTTTGAATATTATAATATGGAATAAAATATCATCATTGTATAGGAACTAATCAAAGTTATACAAAGTAAAAAATCAAAGTCACAGACTTTTGTTTATCTGATCTGCATCATTTGACCATGTGTTCTCATCCAAACCACACTTAATGTCCTCTTGCTTATACACATATGAGTAAGCAGTTATTCATTTTGTGCCGATGCTATAATGGACCATCCACTGTGAACAAAGTAACTTCAGAAGTGACCCCTGTTCAAAGGTGGTCAACACCTGTGCAGGACTTCAGGTCAGAAGGGAAGCAGACATGAAAAAAACTCTACAGGAAACAAGCTTCTACACAGACCACATTTTATGTTTTATTTTTCCCATAATATGTGAAATTTGGCAAATGAATAGTAATTGTACATTAAAATTAGCACTTCGTAGAGGGTGTGTTAACTTATTTTCTCTTAAAACATCATTTGACCAGGAGTGCCCAAACTTGGGCTTGCAAAGTAATGTACTCTCACTTGATGCCAGTGACAAAAACTAAAAACCGTGCTCACTCTGTTGAAATAATGTGATTTTCATGTGTAGGTTCATGTGAACTCTGCACTCACACAATAAAAAATAATTAGTGAATTTCTGAAAGCAAAAAATTTTGATGAAGCTTATTTTGCCCACTTACAACAAACATAAATTTATTAAATGCATAACAAAACGCACTGCTTTCAAATGAAAAATCTCTTTCTTTTGGGTCAAATTTAAGACAAATACAATTCATCATTTTAATTGTTTGACCTTACTATATTACATTACACAATATTACATGTTTTGCTAATTCAACATTCAGACCTTTGTTAAAAATATTATGATCTACTTAAACTCAAGGCACTAATTGAGATTCTAATAAGCTAAAAAATAATAATATATTCATAAGGTACTTTCTTTTGGAAAGAGTCTCAAACCCTAAAGTGAATCTGAAAGATTTAGATTTTTTATGAGTTTGATTTTTTAGCTCCCTTGAAAAAAATGATGTCCCATGTTTTCATGTCACTACCAAAACACAAAGAGGCCACATGGTGAGCAGTTAGATCCCATTGTTTTAAAGTAAATGTGTCCCGAAGTCTGAAATAAAATTAAGAATTGTCACTATCGAAACACATTTTCTGCAATTAATTTTTTTTGTGCTTTAGTGAAAAATATGATAATTTCATATGTGTACAGCTGTTCAAAGCTGTGTTTGCTGGTCATGTACCGGCTAGTGTTTTTGAGGTTTGCTCAAAATGAGCTAAAATTGTCACTGCTTAAACATTTGATAAAGTTTCGGTAGTGTTATGATTGTTTTGATAGTGGCGGAATATTCAATCATTTATTTAATAATATAAACATAATTAAAGTATAGAGTCACTCAAAGCAAAAGGATTTTAGTCTAAAGTCCAAGTCAGTTAAAAGTTCTTTGAATCAATTTGGTAGAATCATCAATAAATGTCAAAAACATCATATCAGACAACAATCAAAGCCCAAAAAATGATTAGTTAGAGAGACAATCTGCTTATTAAACACACGTAAACTTGTCAAACACATATGATTCCATCTGGGCTGAAGTTCCACCCAGGTGTTGACCACTGTCCAAAGCAAAACGTGTATCTCTAAAATGGTAACTTGGCACGAGAGGGCAAAAATGTTCTTAACTTTCAATGCAAGTTAATGTAAAGAGCTTTTATTCCAAGCTATTTTGGAGTGTTTCTATTGGTCCGTTCATGCTGAAATTTTCAGACAATGTGAAGGATAGCTGCTGTGTTCAAATGATGAAGAAAAGTAAAAATCTAAAGAAAAGAAGATACATGTGTTTTTCTTTGGACAAGGATGATGTATAAAAAGCGGTTATATTCAGAGTTATTTTGTTCACAGTGGACTGCTCATTTTGGGCCCAGCACCGCATATAAGAAGAGAGGATGTCAGGTGTAACCACCAATAGCCTTGTAGACAACATTGTCCGCGAGTTCTCCTTCAACAAAACAGGCAGTTTCCTCAGAGTCCGTCTGGTTCTTTCTTCTAAATAAACAGCTTCCTGCACAGCCGTTCCATATACTATAACAGGCTGGTGCTGATGTGCCAGGAGAGGCAGGGAGGCTGAGCATTTCTTTATTAGTAAAACCGATACGAACGTATAACTTTACCTAGAAGCAACATTGTGTGAGAGTGGAATGGATTTAGCCAGTCACAAGCCAGGTCTCACCACTTCAAGGAACACAGCTCTACATTATTTCTTCCCATAGTCTCACAATGTTGCCTCAAGGCAACATACTCCAAAAAGACCCCTGCGCACATTATTTTTTAAAATTATTTTTTAATCATTATATATAATTATATAATTTAATAATCAAGGACCATTTTATGCAAGAAAGTGTAGTTTTTAAAATGCCCTCACAATGTGTGCAGTAGAGGGTTAAGTAAGTATCTTGCTAGCCTTAAGATTTTGATTTAAATAGTAAGTCAACAGAGGAACAACTGGTTTGTTTTATTCTGTTAACTTATTATTTGAAGTTCAATAAAATCAAAATCTTCAAATCAAAAAGCAGCCAGGTTACTAATGCTGAATTAAATCTTTTTTAGAATATAAATACTTCTTTGTGGGCTTTATTCATACAATATGACCGCAGATTCCTGACTGTTTAACTGAGCTTCATCACTCCACCACCCTGCATGCTCTCAACACTGCTAGACAGCTTTTAGCTGATTCATGTGGCCGACGAGAGCGAGTGTAGGTGGTTGGAGTGACTACTGACACGGTGTTTTGTTCAGCAAACTGGCTGGCAAACATTTACAATGAATTAAGGCTGACCTACATACAGGACTGATGTAGCGATTATGTCAGTTACATAACACCACAAAGTTCAGTTTAAGCTCAGACCATGAAGGTAACAGACTTTATGAAGAGTGTATATTCAAAACTCAAATAAATGTGTTTATGTAGTTTTGCAGGAAGCGGATATTTTAACCATTTTTGCTATTTAATTTTTTTTTTAATAAATAATATTTGGATATGATTACTGAATTCTCAATTAAATTCAATAAAAAAACCATGCAGCTAGAAAAGGAGGTTATCCATATGTGACTGTTTTTAGTGATTCATCTTTGTGTTTTAGGTTAATTTAGTGATTTATTTTGCATTTAAGGCTTGTTTAGTGATTTATTGTTGTGTTAATGTTGACTTAGTTATTTGTCTTTGTGTTTTAGGTTGGTTTAATGATATACACTTGTATTTTAGGTTAACACAGTGATTTACTGTGAGCCGTAGCTGTTTTATAGTCTTTTTGGGAAGTCCAGTTAAGAGACCAGCACGGTAGTCCACTCTGCTAGATTTAGACTTACGCCAATTTAGTGATCTATCTTTGTGTTTTAGGCCCATTTAATCATTTGTCTTTGTGTTTTAGGCTGATTTAGTGATTTATCTCTGTGTTTTAGACTGATTTAGTGATTTATCTCCGTGTTTTAGACTGATTTAGTACTTTGTCTTTGTGCTTTAGACTGATTTTGTACTTTGTGTTTTAGGCTGATTTAGTGATTTGTCTGTTTTAGGCTGATTGAGTGATTTGTCTTCGTGTTTTAGGCTGATTCAGTGATTCATCTTCATGTTTTAGGTTGATTTAGTGATTTATCTGTGTTTTAGGTTTGTTTATGGATGTACTGTTGTGTTTTAGGCATATGTACCCATGTCATTTGGCTTAATGTGAGACACACTCCAAGTCAGAAACTTAAAACTACAACATAACCATTTATGACAACTCATTACTGCTCAGCTGGCGAGGCATGACAGTGAGACATGAGAGTAACACTCTTTGTTCCTCTCACTTGCTTACCGAGCATCCTGATGGAGCTGTGGAGGACGTAACTGTTGCGGACATGCAGGGGATACAGGATGCCCTGGAAACGCTCCACGGCAATGCATGTCATGGTGAGGATGCTGGTTGCTATGGCAGTCACTTGAAGGAACGGTACCAGCTTGCACAAAAAGTCTCCTGCAGAAGAAAATATGCCTGAATCAGCTAAGACTGAACCACCACAACTGGCCATGCATCATTTGTCTTAGTGGCTAAATCTGATGAACTAGGTCAAAACAGTTTGCAGATATTTAACATTTTTTTCTTATTGTAAAAAGAAAAAAAAATGATTATCCGCCTTGAGCCTTTAGATGTGCGCATTATAAGCTTTTTTTAAAAAAATGGTGAAACCTTGTAAGTTTTCCTGTGTACAACAAGAAACTTTGACTGTATATCATAAATAATAGTGTAATTACATATTTACAATAGTTCTTTGATGATGATCTATGATCTGCCTCAAGATTTGATCTTCACTTTTCAAATACAAGGCATTCTGGATGTTAATTTTATTTTAACTTGATTCTCAATGTTCTACAGCATTCTCAATGTTCTCAATCATTTTAGAATAATTTGATATAAAATTATTTAAAAGCTGTAATGTTATAGCACAGCAGCATCATATTAGAATGATACACATACTTGCAACATGCAACAAAACTTGTATAAATACACATATTTAAGACAAACCCCTTGCATAAGGAAGGGGAAATGAAAAGGAAAAATCAGTGAAAACAGCTTCAAAACAAGAGCTCAAAAATGTATTAAAAGATACAGGAAAAAAAGTGGCAGACCATAAAAATTGTCCATGTCAGATAAACAGTATTTAAAGGTTTCATCTTAGAGAGAGAGGAGAAAAATCAAGCTACACTCTTGAATCCACAAGTGTTTCTGTCTGTCTTTCCACTGTGAGAAAACAGTTCAACGCTGTGGGTCTAAAAGGATGTTCAGCTGTCAAGAGACCCTTACTGAGAAAAAAAAGGGATTATTTGGATTGTGAGAAGTAGGCAATGCAAAAACAGCTTCTTTTTTTTTAAATATATATTATTAGATTTTTGTAGCATGACAAAAGAACAATTTAACCCCCTTCCAGCACCCTGCCCCAAAAAAAGCCCCATAACAAAAAATAAATGAAAAGGCCAGTGAAAATCCAGTACATATACAGCAACCCATGCCCAAAAAATAGACAAAGACAATAAATAGAAATATAAAACATGATAGCAAGTGTTATATTTTTGGCAATTTGAAGGAGAAAAAATTGAAGTTAAATTACTAAGGGGGATGTCACAGTTGATTCATCAGCACTGAGGGTGTTCAATGAAAGGGTCCAGATTGAACCTGTATTAGTACACCATAATTTCCAAAGTATACAGAAGAAACCATTTCAGAAAGCCATATTTTAAATGAGGCGGAAAATTCAGATTCCCAATCCCTAAGAATAATCCTTCTTGTCAAAATCATGCCAAACATTAATGCCTGCTGTTTGGTCTATATGGTAAGGAAAGTGAAGGATCTGAGCAACCAATCAGAGCCAATACTGGATCAGGAGAAATCAACTAAATATGTTAGCCCAAAAAGAAGACATTTTGGGATAGAACCAAAAGGTATGACCCAATGTTGCACGGTTTAGAAAAAGAATTAAATAAACTGTAGTCTGGCATTGATGGCACAAAGCTGTATTCCAATTTCTAAGATGTAACTTTGAAGGTGTGGAAGTGTCTTTGAAGAACTGATAGCAAGTCTGCTGAAGGGATTGGAAGCTGTAATCAAGATAATGAATGGACACACTAAATACTAAAAAACACACAACAACAATATTCCCAACAATCCCATTTCCAAAAAAGTTGGGAACGTAAATAAAAATAAACTGCAATGAAGTGCAAATCATTTAAACCCTATATTTCACTGAAAATAGTACAAAGACAACATATTAGATGTTGAAACTAAGAAATTTTATTGTTTTTTGAAAAATATTTGCCCATTTTGAATTTGATGGCAACAACACGTTTCAAAAAGTTGGGACGGGGGCCTGTTTACCACTGTGTTTCATCACCTCTTCTTTAACAACACTCTGTTTGGGAACTGAGGAGACACTGCTGTAGTTCTGAAAGTGAAATGTTTTCCATTCTTGTTTGACACAGGATTTCAGCTGCTCAACAGTTCTGGGTCTCCTTTGTCGTATTTTTAATTTCATGATTCACCACATGTTATCAGTGGTGACAGATCTGCACTGCAGGCAGGTCAGTTTAGCACCCGGACTCTATTAATATGGAGCAATGCTGCTGTAATACATGCAGAATGTGGTTTTACATTGTCTTGCTGAAATAATCAAGGCCTTCCCTGAAAAAGACGTCGTCTGGATGGCAGCATATGTTGCCAAAACATGTATATCATTCAGCATTAATGGTGCCTTCACAGATGTGCACGTCACCCATGCCATGTGCACTAATGCCTCCTATACCATCATGAATACTGGCTTTTGAACTGTGAACTGATAATAAGCTGAGTGGTTTTTAGCCCGGAGGACACAGTGTCCATGATTTCCACTTCGCCTCAGTCCATTTTAAATGAGCTCGGGCCCAGAGAAGGTGGCAGCGCTTCTGGATCCTGTTTATGTACACTTTCTTCTTTGCGTTTTAGAGTTATAACTTGCATTTGTGGATGCAGTGATGAACTGTTTTCACAGACAGTGGTTTTCAGAAGTGTTTCTGAGCCCATGCAGTGATTTTCCACTACAGAATCATGACTGTTTTTAATGCAGTGTCGCCTGAGGGCCCAAAAATCACGGCCAGCAAATACTGGTTTTTGGCCTTGTCCCTCACATACAGAGATTTCTCCAGATTCTCTAAATGTTTTAATGATATTATGCTACACAGACGATGAAAAGCAGAAGTGGTGAGCCCCTCCTCATCTTTACTTCTGAAAGACTCCGCCTCTCTGAGATGCTCTTTTATACCCAATAATGTTGCTGACCTGTTGCCAATTAACCACCAGGTGTTTTTAGCATTACACAACTTTACCAGCCTTTTGTTGCCCCGTCCCAACTTTTTTTGAAACGTGTTGTTGGCATCAAATTCAAAATGGCCATATATTTTTCAGTTTCAACATTTGATATTTTGTCTTTGTACTATTTTCAATTAAATATAGGGTTGAAATGATTTGCACATCATTGCATTTTTATATACATTTTGCACAGCGTTGCAACGTTTTTGTAAATGGGGCTGTACTTAGTCGTTGACCTCTACCAGCTCAAAGCCCAGAACTCAGAGCAACTGGTACTAATTTCTCATTTCCAGCCTAGTGATTCATAGCATCCATCAGTCATGAGCTCTATAGTGCTTTTCACAAAGGACAGTCTTCTCTTACTGATGAAAATGAAGCACAAATTAGGTGTTTGGCTCAGTCTGGGTCATTACAGGAAAAGGTCAGATGACCTTTTAAATGTCAAATGAAAGGATGAACTTCGAAATACCATAAGTCATGTGATTTCAGCTGGCAGGCTTGCGAAGGCTTTGTCGTCCTGATAATAGTAGCAATAATGTAATCAGGGCATGGCACAATTTGTCAATCACTTGTCTTATTATGGTAGTTACATGAAATATCAGGCAACTAATTGATTTGACTAACTGAAATGTTTTATCAATTCATGCAAAGGCCCATGCTGTTCTTGCACTTTCACTGTTCGCTGCTAAGAGAGGTTGGCAGACAAGAAAAGTCTCACACACAAAGTCAAGCCAAACAGTACGTAGATAAAGTACACTGAGTGAACTTAAATGCCGTCATGTAAGAGTTTGAGAACGTTTGCTTCTGTTGAAAAGCAGCCCCAAGACATTAGCATTTAAACTGTCAACTAGCAGTTGGAGACCAGCTGTTTAAATTTCAGATGAAACAAGTTCGCTTTGCACACTTTTAAAGGGTAGATATAAAAATGTCACAATGGAAAATGTCACGTTTCATTTAGTGGTTTTCTAATCTCCATTTCGTTCTTCATAAAGTGATGAGATGAACAGCACTTGAATCATGAACATATTTTGTATATGGAGCAGATATGAGACAATCTTCATAATCTAATAACCTTGTTAATACATGTGCGTCACAACCATCTACTGTTATTGCTCTTTGCCATACTGGAGAGAAAGAAAAGAACTCCTTCAATTATCTGTTATTCTATAATTGCACTTCAGAATTTCACGTTATTCCAAGACTGGTAGACCAGGTCATTAAAGCAGCATCACATACAACAGTGTTCCTGCGCATTATTTCCCAGGTAAAACAGCTACTTCAGCTCAAGAAGCATGCAGCAAATAATGAGATTTCAATGTATGTTAAGTGTCTTTCACCATGACGCTGCCATGCATCCTATTGTGCTAATCCAGCTCAGATGAATTTGAATTAAGTGAGGTCTTTTAGTTTGTGTTTATTTAAAATTCATGTTGGACCTGGAATAACAACTTCACATGTAATCAATAGTGACCTTAGTCCTGGTTCACGAAAAAAAGAGGTATTCTTTAACTATGGTTAGAAGCTAAACAAATAGCAAATGAATAGAATTCAGTATCATCATAGCAGATGATGCTAAAAAAGCAAAACACGCAATAACCCGTGTGTGGTGTTCGAGTCTGTGGGACCCATTTTCAATGTTTACCTACAGAAAAAAATTGTGATATTATTTCAACCTCAGATTCCTTGTCCTTTGCTCTTTTTCTGTGAAGAATTTCTAAAATAAATTGTAGTCTTTCAAATTGATTGATTATTTTTTTCTGCCATACCTTCAAAACACACACACACAAAATCACAAACCTTAAAAAACAAGGCAATATGATGCCGAATACTCAATAGAGCTTCAAGGGTAATTATGGCTGCAGACTCCAACAAATACACTATTAAAGTGGTGATCCTGAGTTTGTATGAGAGCAAAATGTCAAGCAGGGAAAATAGCGATGGGAAAATAAAGTAATGCTAATGGCTCAAGTAGAGCTGGGCGATATGGCCAAAAACGTTATCACGATAAACAAAATTCATATTGTTCGATATCGATACATATCGCGGTAAATGTCAAATCATGATTTCTTTCACGTTTGAAGGCTGATTTTGCTCCTGGGTGGTTAATTGTGGTTTTAAACTATCACTTATGGTCCGATCATGACAAACACTTGGTAAACAGTGGAACATTTCACTAATCTGTCATGGAAGAGTTGGAGAAAGTTTCTGAGCTGTTTTTATCAGCTTGAAAAGCACAGCTGCAATTTTTGTAATAGTCATGATTTAAGAAAAAAAACAGATTATTTTATCTGTCTGGTGACGAGCGCTCGGCTACCCCGCTACAAATGCTAAACAAGTGGCCAACAACAGGGCTAAACTCTTTAGTTTCTCAACATCGTCAACTCGGTTCGGTAGGTCACTGCGGTCACTCCTACCACATCCATGTCAGAGCAGATCACAGTACTCAGACACCAGCTAGACGACTGGTTTTCTCTATGCTACCGTAGTAGTTTAAGGGGTGAACCGCAGTATATCTGACGTTTGCTGTGTAAAAGCATTATCTGCAGTGTGAATCTCTCACACCAGTCACAGAGTCCTCCTTTTAGGCATGTTTAAACAGAAAGCGGTGATTTTGTGTCTTGTTTGATCTACCGTATCATCAGCTCTCCGTGTTGTGCCGAAGCGCTGATTCAAGTTAGCCAGCAGCTAAAAACAGCTAGCCTGGAAAGACAGCGCTCTCCTGCTCTCCAATGCCTCACAGCTTCCTCAGTTTACTTTCAAACATGAACCCACCTCTTTCTTTCACTTTCGTTGCTCGAGAACGCACTAATACTAAAATATGACGGTTTGGCGCTGTAACACGGCGCTGCAGACGTGATTTAACACCGCTAAAGGTGTTAGGAGGCACGGAAAGAGGTGAGTTCGCTGTAGGACAGTACAGTTACACCACTGACCTCGTCACTCACACTCGGTCACAGGAGAACAGATCGCCGGTCGCTCCGCTCAAACAGGGACTGTATAAATCCGCGTTTCAGCCGTTTCTAAAGTATATTTGGCGACCCTTTTTTTAGGGCCCCCTCCCGCTCTAATCAAGTCGAAAAACTGGGAAGTGCGCCCTCTCCTGGCAACAGCAGAGTAGTGTCGCTTTCCTTGCACTAGAAAACGCCACCAGGGCTTTCGCTAAAACGTGGAAGTGTGAGAATGGTGTTTTATATCGAACATTTATCGAACCTGTCTTATCGCTCTATCAAGGAAAAGTTATATTGCAGTACTTATCGTTATCGTTTTATCGCCCAGCCCTACTGCAGACTCCAACAAATACACTATTAAAGTAGAGATCTTGAGTTTGTATGAGAGCAAAATGTCAGGCAGGGAAAATAGGCATAGGAAAATAACAAAGTAATGCTAATGGCTCAAGATCACATGTACCGGGGCAATGTACTAAACAAAAAGTTACAATAATTACTGTAAATACACACTAACAACTGAAGGATAATGTTGGTAACAGGCACTGAGTTTTGTTTTTCTGTCAGAGGTTTTAGTGAGTAGACAACTTACAGAAAAGTAATGAAGAAAGAAATGAATGTTGGACCTAAAAAAAGGATGATTGGTTGACTGGTGACTGATGACTGTTTTTGCACAAACAACCCAGTGTACAGCTGTCCATCCTCGTATTTCTAATAGAAAACAAGTCTGAAGTCTGTCCAATAGCAGAAAAGTTCGGAGAGTATTGTTATTAAAACTCTGAGCCTGAGACTTGAACCCTAAAGGCTTATTATTCTGTTATCAATCTCAATATTAATATTCTAAAAGAAAATACTATGAAACCAATATGTGAGTTATGTTAGGAGAGTTTAAGTGTGGATCTACATACAGGGCTGGTGTTCCAGGCATGGATTAAGCCTAGTCTTGGACTAAAGTGAAGAACCACGAATGAATTGCCATTGTAAAAAGATATGACGCGGGCATTTTTAGACTGCACATAGTAAAAGGTACAACATGTGGAGCTTTCTGTGTGCTACCGTAGAGATGGGCGATATGGCAAACATAATATTGCAATACTTGAAGACATTTTCATAAAACATCACAATGCTTTTCTGATAAATGACAAAAAAACTCTAGTAGTACCATATTTAAACACTGCTATCCGAAATAATGCGCGCATTGGTTTTTTATTCAAGGTTTCACACATTACACTAATGACTGTCATTGGTATTTTACAGTAGTGTTTATGATTCCTGTTTCTACAGTGGAGTTGAAGCTCCTTCTTGCGTATGTGAGGTGAGCATCCACTACACTACCTAACTGCTCGTTATTACTACATAAGCCATGTTTACATGCAGCCTAATAATCCGTTAATAACTTGACTAATAGCTCAATCAGAATGGAATACGTCCATTTACACACCTCGATCAGAATAGTCTAGTCTGATTGAGGCCATTCAGAATACAGTTTCTATCCGACTGTACGAGGTGGGTAATCCTGTAAATAATCAGTTAAATAGAAGAATAATATCCGTGTAAACGCCTGTATCTGATTAAGTTTAAGTACGTTCTGATCATGTGCGTCGTGTCATAGTGAAAGTTTATACCGTTCAACATGGCGGAGCAGAAACTGGTCTGCAGAGGAGACGAAGTTCATGCTCTGATCTTTAAAAGACGGCGGTGGGACGGACGTCCAGCTTATGTGTCTCAGAACACGACGTCTTTCTCTCGGCCTTCTTTAATAAGGACATGTGAAGGACGTTTTACTGAGTCTGACATCATTTTAAAGTAATTAAAAACACAAGCGCTGCTCACTGCTGCTCATCTCACTCTGACTGGACTCACATGATGCTGGTTGTCATGGTAACGTCTACACTAAGTGGTTCTCTATGCATGCGCATAGTTTTGGATCTGATTACTTGTAGTGAGCATGTAAACAGAGATTCTCATCAGACTGTTGAGTAGAGTGAGAATATAAACACCTCCGTCTTAATCTATAATCGGAATGAATTCAATCAGATTGGCCAAAATCTTTGCATGTAAACACAGCCAGTGACAGGAACCTTGGTCTCACCAGAAAGAAACCATTTTGTGGATTAAGACAGAAATGCATTTTGATCTATTATTCTAACAATGGGCTTTACACATTTTAATATATTTAATAATTAAATCATTTAATATTGATACTTGAGCCTCTGTGTATTGATACTAATTTTAAACCTAACATATTGCAATATTATTCTGTACTGTGCCACTTTTGGTCTACTAGCCTTAATACACATTGCGACAACCACAACTTTCCAACCTCAAGGGTTTCATGTATCTTCATTAACTCATTTGTGGGTTGACCTGTTTGTGCAGAAGTGCCCGTCAGGCCTGTTCTAGCTATCTAACAGAGAATCTGATAGCATTGAATATTCTTAAAACACTGTCCAACACACCAACTCAAATTTCTCAGAATTAGTTTAACTACCCACATACCAATTTTCAGCCATATTCATGTAACCGTTCACCAGAAATCTCATACTGAACACACCCTGTCTTTCCTAACTGTTTACACGTGGAGCACGCTTCCCCAAACACTCCTTTTAAAAATATGCTTAGGATGTAAGATAACTTCAGATTTTGTCATAGAAAGTTCACATACCATCCAAGCAACTGCATGAAACTGTTGAACAGCATGTGAAATGTCAGTAAAGTTTATTTGCTTGCTCACCCCTTTTTACAAAACATGCTTTCATTTCCATAGTAATCGGTAAGTAATATTCAAGCTCTTAGCAACCACGTAATGTGAAGTTCTCTTCTGGATTTGATGTTCTCAAATGGAACCTGAATGATGGAAATAAAAGCCTGGAGGTGAATGAATGCCTTGGCCCAAAAGTCTACTTCAATTTAAGCCCTGAATGATCAGTGCTATTTGCACAACTTAAGACAACTACTGTAGTAGTACAAACTGTTTGAAAATTGGCTTAAACTTGGATCTGCATAAAGGGGTTAGCTTTTGTGTTTGTTCATGTTGGTCTACGCCATGAAAACACATGCTGACTAATCATGCCATGACAGCTAATATGTTATAGTATCTTATAATTGCAGTTTATGTTTATGTTCTGGCAGCTCAGCTTACCTGCCAGCCAGTTGGTGAAGAAGTGCTGCAGCATGGAGGCAGGCACACACACAATGGCAATAAGGAGGTCGCTGAGTGCCAAGGAGCAGATGAAGAAAGTGCTGGGGGACTGCAGAGCCTTCTTACGGCACAGAATAACCAGCACAGCCCCGTTTCCCACCACAGCAAGGCCAAAGATGAGCACATAGAGCAGGCCAAATACTGGCAGCAAGGTCCCTGGGAGCCTGGGCACTGCCACGAGAGGAGGGATGGAGTACTGCTGGATGAACTGCCACCGAGAGAGGTTAGATGCCTCCAGCATCAGGTCTAGGAGCTGAGAGGTAAGATTCATGTTTGCAGAGACTGACGCCTCTTTGGTTGAAAACTTTGGTGTGGAGATGTAATGATTTACTCATTCCAAGTCCAGGTGAAAATATGAAGGACGGACATTGAACAGCTTAGAGGTTGTATCTCACAATTCATCTTGACGGCGCTTTACCAACACCTGCAAATTCAAAGAATTGGTTTGTCAGGGTGGGTTACATACAGATGGAAACATTAGAAAATATGGAAAACATAAGGAAAGGAATATTGCTATTTTATAGCATATTGATTTTTTTCTTACCCCTAATGATACACTCCCAAAAAGGATGGTTCTTCAAAAGGTTTTTCAGTAGAAAAAAAAGGTTTTATTTAGAACCATGAACATTCAAAGAACCTTTTGCATGATTAAAGATTTTTTTTTTAACAGTTTGGTAGCTTGTAGTATGTTTCGGTAGTACTTGCTGTAGATTTTAAAGAATAGTTTAACACAAAATAAACTTTACACAGGGTACCACTTTAGAATAAGACTACCCTTATAAAGTGTTTATGAGCTTGTTAATGGATATTCATTAGGCCATAAACACCTTAAAAATCATTAATATGCAGTTATAACACACAAATAAAAAGGGTAACAGTGATGTTATTTGCCTAATAGTAAATCCACATTAATTTATATACACTTAAAATGATGGTTCTTCAAGGGTTCTTTAATAAAGAAAATGGTTCTATATAGAACCATGAACACTCACAGAACCCTTTGCATGATTAAAGGGTTCATTGCATTGTGAAAGAGTTCTTCAGATGGACGGAGAATGTGCTGGTTCTATATAGAAGCTTTTTGAAAAGGGTTCTACCTAGCACCAAAATAGGTTCCTCTATTGTTATGATGTCAGGCTTGTTACAGTAAACTCTTTTTTTGGTGCTATATAGAACCCTTTTCAAAAAGGTTATTTTCTCCATCAATCTAAAGAACCATTATATGATGCAAAGAATCTTTTAATCATGCAAAGGGTTCTTTGAGTGTTCAAGGTTATATGTCGAACCATTTTCTTTACTAAAGAACCTTGGAGAACCATCATTTTTAAGTGTGCAATTAAGCCGCAACTCTTGCTGGTTGCTTATCTGACTGTCTTCTCCATCAGTCAGCATTAAAACTGTCAGCTTCATCAGATATAACAGCTCATGTTTTTTCCTTTATTAATGTGTTACAACTGTTTACTAATGACTTTTATGGACGTTTATGACCTAATTAATAACCATTAATAAACTCATTTTAAACCACTAATGAACCACTTATAAGGGTAGACTTATTTTAAAGTGGTACTTACACAGTTTTCCACTTTCACTAGATGTAGTATATCAGCCTAGACATGAGTCTGGATTTTCTTTCTTTAGTTTAAACTGGAATTACGGGTGTAACAAACATTAGAAGTCAATAATAAAGAGAAGTGTTCGTGATGTATATTAGTTAATCAAGCAAATTAAAAAGTGCTGCTTTGCACTGCTACAGAGCGCTCAGAAGCCAGACAACATATCAGGGCTGATTGAGGACATGGCAGACTGGTCAATGTGGTTCAGAGAACACTGTGACTCAATTACTGTGACTTACTTTGAACTATAAAAATCGTTTATCAGCCTGACCAATAATCAGAACCAACATTAAGCCTTTTTGATGTTCAGAATCGGCACTTGAACTTGTTTCCTTGCCGATAAAAGCCTTTTTTGTTATGTATGTGCATATATGACGCAACCACACTTCTGTACTCTGGCCCAATGTCCCACCCACAGCACTACTGGGATTACTTGCACTGTGGAAGATGCATCCACACAGTAGTCTGTTTCTACATCCCACCAGCAGCGCTAGAAATGTGGCAGAAATGTGGACGATATGTCGAGTAAATCCAGTCAAACGTACTTTCCGGTGTTTGTGAGAAATGTGGGAATGAAGCAGAACCTGCATTCGCTTCAAAAAGCAAAAGGAAAGGTAAAAGAAAAATTTATCTCCATCACTTCTTACTTTCTGTATCTTAGACTCAGATCTGCCCTGAAGGTGTACCGAGTACCCTGGGACAGTTAAATTACCTCATGTCTGAATGGTTTAACCATCAAGTTTGTAAACAGAGATTAGTATCACCTATCTACAGCGCTATATTAGATAAATCTTATTCTACATTAGAAATAACATTTAAGTGGGAAAGGGAACTGAACCAGCTTGGATTACGTCCTATGTGGGATCGGATATGGTCTAACCTGATTGTTACCTGGAAGAATCTCGCTCATCAATTAATTGATTTTAAATGTATACATAGAGCCTAATCCACACCATAATTAAGACACAAAATGGGCACGGTTCCCAGACCTTATTGTGCTGTTTGTAACGCCGATTCTTTTGACACTTTTCTGCACATCACTGTTGTTGGAGGAAAATCTTGTATCTCCATTTTTGACTTTTTTTAGTTTTTGACATAAGAAATGGCCCAAAATGACTAATAAAAAAGTCTGGTTCCATTGACTGAAAAGTAAAGTTTTTTCCTTCTCCTGTAAAGTTACCATTTTGGAGATACAAGGTTTTGTTCCGACAACAGCGATATGTTTGGGATTGCAGTGAGATTAGCAAAATCTGGGATTATACACTGATCAGGCATAACATTATGACCACCTCCTTGTTTCTACACTCATCGTCCATTTTATCAGCTCCACTTACTATATAGGAGCACTTTGTAGTTCTACAGTTACAGACTGTAGTCCATCTGTTTCTCTGATACTTTGTTAGCCCCCTTTTACCCTGTTCTTCAGTGGTCAGGACCCCCATGGACCCTCACAGAGCAGGTACTATTAGAGTGGGGGATCATTCTCAGCACTGCAGTAACACCGACGTGGCGGTGGTGTGTTAGTGTGTGTTGTGCTGGTACGAATGGATCACTTAGTCATTTACTTCACTCGCTTACTCTCACACACACACAGTCCTTGAGATGATGACTGTCAGTATACTTTTCACACAGTACTTGTTCCAATGCACAAGTGCACTCTAGCCAAACAAACAGGAGTCGTGCCTGCAGCTTGAGCCCTGCCTGAAACATCGCATTTGTTTGGTGAGAGTGAGGTTTCTGTGCATGGGAGCAAACACATGCAGATCCATACTGCTTCTTTAGGTTGAACGCATTCAGAGTATGTGTGCCTGTAATGGAGCTTCAAAGGGTGCCGTGTACTTATGGCCAACTGTGCAATCAAGCTTCTAGAAAGCCATAACTTATCGTTTTACATTTAAATAAGTGAACCACAATTTCTGGTCATTTACATTTCTTTTTCACTCGTTAAACCAACAGGCAGCTGCTAACTTACTGCTTTCAAAGATTCTAGCACTCTGCTTAGGCCAGGAGTGTCCAAAGTCGAAACCCCAGGGCCAAATGCAGCCTACGGACAGATTTTAATGGACCCCCAGCTTCTATTGTACAGTGTATTATAAGTGGCCTGCCAGGCAGTATGTTGTAGTTCTTCTTTTATTTTTCAACAATTAAACACTTGAATAGGAACATGATTAATACATTAGACAAGTTGTATTGGTACAACTTCAGTTACAGTTCAGTTAATTATTATAAGCGCTTATCGATCCAAACTGTTCTGAATGAGCAATACAACAATGAAAGAAGCCTCGTGCATCTTTTATTCAGCAATAGGAAACAGGGTAGCTCACAGAAAGATATTTTGAAAACTTCATGTTTTGAATCATTTGTGAATAATATGTCGGCCCTTTTTAACACAGTGCAATCTGGCCCTCTTGGAAAAAAGTTTGGACACCGCTGGCTTACACTAAACCAGTTCTATGGAATCATGCAGCACATTTTTGAGAACCTTGTTATCACATGAAATATATTTTTGGTTGAAAGACAACATAAAAGTAGGGACTTTTTTACTGCATTGTTGCTCAGATGTTTACTGTAACTTTTTTATACCAATATTAAATTTCTACTTATTTGGTTAGTGTAGGCTATATAATTTTTGTAATCTCTATCTAGGCTTTTTTACTTGCACCCATACACTGAAAAGGCAAGGTCCACCCCTGATGTGTGGCCTTTCAACATCAGTGACTCATACTAAACACATTGTATCATACATATATATGTATATGTATTAGGCGTGCGGGAAAAAAAAAAAATTGATTCTTAGATGCATCGCGATGCGGACGTGAACGATTCTGAATCGATTCACAAATGTCAAAAATCGATTTTCTAAATATTTAAATTATAACGTAATGTTGACGGAACGCAAAAGGCGGAACTTGGAAGTGGGTAAGTGCAGCACCCGGACAGTCTGTGGCGGCACATAACAAAACACTACTGGATGAGTGAGAAATCCCTCTGCATTAAAGCCAGGTTAGGTCAGGAGTCTCAACACAAATGTTAAGAAGAGCCATTTTGTCCTTTCAACAAAAATCAAACCACCTTGGGAGCCACAACGTTTAATGTCCAGTATGTCTCAGTATGTGTTAATGTCCTAGTTTAGGCTAAACAATATAAACGAAAACGCAGATTTACTTCGCTCTGCTTCAAGCTTTAGCTCAGCTTTAGCCGCTTTCCTCCCATCTCCACCAGAAAACCTTTCCTCAGAAGTAGATCGGTTAAATGTCTCTCATCGTTCAACTGCTTTATGAGGCTGAAGTCGCTTCTTATTCTCCAGCTTCTTGTTCGAGTTTACCCGTTCCACCTTAAATTCTAACTGAAGCGCCGAATGTAAATGCGGCACCATTTAAGGTGGAACAGCAGAATTCGAAAGAGAAGTGACTTCAACTTCGCCACTTTTTAGTGTGTGACAGTCTCTCGTTGCAGATTTAACGTACCAGGAAACCAACTGCGCTGCTTATAAACGCGAATAACGCATCGCTGCTACGTGACCTGCAGTCTGCACGGCGGTTCTCAGTCGTGGCGAAACAGGGCTCTCGCGCTATGTTGCACACGTCCCATCTCAAACATACTTTACTGACACAGCGATCCTCCCCGTCTCTACGAGACCAAAACCGAAGTTATAAAA